AACTCACTTATTAGTTCCGGTAGCTTTTTTAGTGGATTCCTTGGGCTTTTCTATTTGTAAGATCATGTCAGATCTTCTGTATGTTTCAGTATGTTTCAAAGCTTCTCAGTTGGTTCCGTTGTGCCAGGGTTGAAAACAACTGGGTTAGATCAGTGGTTCCCATGCCTTTGAGATGGAAGGGGAGGGGAACAGAGTAGTCGGAGCACTAGAATTTCTGAGGAATTTTCCTCAGTATCTGTTGGTGAGAATGAGGCACTGGGAGCTTGGACTCAGCCGATGCACAGAGGCAGAGGGACCAGTATCCGAAACCCCAGCTTCCTCCTTTCCCGATAAATCCAGTTGGGTTGAGTAAGTGAAAGTGTGCCTCTTACAGAAGTGCTTTCTGGGTGAGGGTGACAACACCCTCCCTCCTTGGAGTGGTCAGAAAGAGCCTGCGTGAGAACTGGTAAAAGTCAAACCCCAGAAGAAATCAGCAAGTTCGGGAAGGTGTTGAGGGACTGTTGTTGGGAACTGTGGAAAGGAACAAGTCTGGCTCTGAGCTACTCAGGGCTGTCAGGGCCATCTTTCTGGCTATGCCTTGACCCTGCCCACCCCAAATAACTGGACTTCACCCCATTTGAAGGACTTTTTCTTACAGCTCTAGACTAGTGGTTTTATATTCATAAAGGTAGATGTGAGAACTGGCAGATACCTTAGAAATCCACATTATCTAGAAACTGGCTGTATCCTTTTACTAGTTGCTTCATTAACTAGTGAGCTAAATGAAATCTTTGACACATGTCCATTTTATCATTTTATATTTGTATGAAAGTCATGGCTTCACTTTTTTTTCTTTTAAGTACACATTAGCATAGGGAGGTCATCCACTGAAAAGCATGCCCAGTGGATTCACATGGTCTTTTCTGAGCTACCAGAGGCAGTAGCTAAACAGAACATTCATTTATCCGTTTGTTTTTGAGAGAACACAAGTGGGGGAGGGGCGGGGGTGCAACAGAGGATCTGAAGCTGGCTTTGCGCAGCCAGCAGTGAGCCCAATGTGAGGCTTAAACTCAAACCATGAGATCATAACCTGAGCCAAAGTTGGATGCTCAACTGACTGAGCCACCCAGGTGCCCCAGAACTTTTTAAAAAAATGTTTGTTTATTTATTTATTTTGACATAGAAAGTGAGGGAGAGACTGCATGAGTTGGAGGGAGAGGGGCAGAGGGAAAGAGAATCTCAAGCAGGCTCCATGCTCAGTGCAGAGCCTCACACGGGGCTTGATCCACAACCCTGGGATCAAGAGTCAGGCACCCAAGAGTGGGGTACTCAACTGACTGAGCCACCCAGGCACCCTGAAACAGAACAGTTTTTTAACTTTGCTGACTCTGTCTCTTTCTCTGTCTCTCTCTCTCTTTCTGTCAGTCTCCTGAGTTTGTGTTTTGTTTTGCACATGCAGATCAGTTACTCCCATTGGTGACAGCAGTGATCAAGGATTTGGCTGTGTGGTCTCATCATGTGCTGATCGTTATGGACTGTTGAATGAGGAGTGACAGAAGCTGGATTGTTGGACTGTTTTACACTTAGAAATTATTGAGGACCCCCAAAAGCTTGATTAAGTGGGTTTTACCTATTATTTTCTGTGTTTGAAATTAAAACTGAAATTTTGGGTGCCTGGGGGGCTCTGTCAGTTAAGCATCTGACTTTGGCTCAGGTCATGATCTCACAGTTCATGAGATCAAGTCCCACATTGGGTGAGCTCAAGCTCCACTTTGGGCCCGACACTCTCCCCCTCTCTCTGTCTCTTGTGAGGTTCTCTCCCTCCCTCTGTCTCTCTGCCCATTGCTCACTTTTGCCCCCCCCCAATAAAAAAAAAAACTGAGAAATTTTTAAAGTATTTGTTGATTCACTTGAAAATATCATTGTTTGTTAACATAAATTTTTTTAAAAAGTATTTTATTTCTAGGAGAGAGAGACAGCGTGAGCAGGGGAGGGTCAGAGAGAGACGGAGTCACAGACTGAAACAGGTCCCAGGCTCTGAGCTGGCAGTCAGCACAGAGCCCGACGTGGGGCTCGAACCCACGAACCGCGAGATCATGACCTAAGCGAAAGTCGGACGCTCAACCGACTAAGCCACCCAGGCACCCCTTAACATAAATTTTTAAAAAATGCTGTAGTTCAGGGGCGCCTTGATGGCTCAGTCGGTTGAGCATCCAACTTTGGCTCAGGTCATGATCTCATGGTTCATGAGTTTGGGCTCCATGTCTGGCTATGCGCTGACAGCTTTGAGCCTAGAGCCTGCTCTGCATTCTGTCTCCCTCTCTGCTCCCCCTCCCCACCTTGTGCTCTCTCTCGCTCTCTCTCTCTCTCTTAAAAAAATAAACATTAAATAAAAAAGAAAAAGAAAAAGAAATGCACATGACGAGGGAATGCAGTTTTTAAACAAAAAATTGTCCAATGCCCAGAAGGGGGACATCCTCAAAGCATTTGTATGACTTGGATTCCATTTCTTAGGTGTTTTTTGTTTGGCTGTTTTTTTTGTTTTTTTGTTTTTGTTTTCTCCAGAGCAAAAGGGAAAAAACGTTTGACAGGAACATCTTGGTTCCAAAGGATTCAGACTGAAGGCCAGCACAGTCCAACAGCAATAGTTGGTTCGTACTCTCAGAAAGGATGAGGCCTTAAAATAAGTCCTGCATAAAGCCTCGAGAGCTTGGACATAAAGAGAGCAGAGTCCGAAATCCAGGAGAAAACCTACCCTCAGACTTTGGGGTCACTGAGAAAGCAGTGAGCCCACTTGGCTTTATGGGCACTGGTCCCTGTTTGCTTATCAGCTATGGAGCTGTTGGGGTCATCTCTGGATCCCACTTCTGATCACTAAATAATACTAACCTTAAAAATAGAACCGCCAGCGATTTCAGTGGCAACAATGCATTTATTTGGGAATAGTAGAGAACTGTAATTCAGGACAAGCAAGCTATTGTAAAACCATAGCAAGTTCACAGAGCAAAGGAGAGGAGTGTGCTTTTGCAGAGGATATTGGAAGGTGGGAGGGGTCTAGTAAACAAAAAGTGCAATTGGATGAACCAGGAGCTCCAAGTACGGTGGCTTCTCATTGGCTGGGGTGTTGCTGGGGGAAGAAAAAAGCTCTTCTTCCTCCTGCAGGGGTAATAAGGATAGTACAGGAGTGTCAGACTTGTATGGTACCTTTGTTCCTTTTGGGTGTGCAGTTCGTGAGGGGCGTGAGAGTGCCCTCTCTGGCCTGCTGCCGTTCTAAGCAAGGTTTCCTTTTATTTCCACAGTATCAAAGTCTGGAGGAAGTCTATTAAATGTTTATGTGAATTATCTCGAGTGCTGTCTCCCCCACATAGTTTTCTAAAGTTGGTTCTTGAGAGAACAAGGTGGGGGCCCGCATTCAGTCTGCTGCACCTTTGCATTGGCTGTGACTGGTGAACGTGATTTGGCTTCTGTGGACTTTTTCCTGAGGGGAATGTTCTGTTTTGTTCTTTGTCCTGATTCATATAGTGGCACCAGCTTTTGCCTCTTGGAGGGCCTGTGGTTGCCCATGAGCCGGCACCCATAGGTTCCCTGTCTGTTCAAATACACCTGAGTCCTTTGCTCTTGGCCCCCTTTCCTCCCAGTCAGCCATACCCAGCGGCAGAGGCGGGCTCTTCCAGATTCCCAGTGTGAGGGTTAGGGTGACCGCTAAGGCCAGCAGGAGCACCGAGACAGGGAGATGGGCAGATCGGGAGTGACTGCGTCCCACAAATGTGCACAGCTGCCTGGCGTGGAAGGCACGTCCTCTGCTTCCTCGGTTGTCTAGTCTTGTTTTTTACCTCCTTTGTGTTTAAGGACCCAAGATAAAATTGCCTAATTTGGCTGTTTTTTACCCTACAAAATGACCATTTCATTTGACTCAAACTAATATTGTGTGTAAACACACACATACCCAGACAAGTACATTTTATGATAGGATTATTTTGCTGAGACTGTTCTATAGAAACTTTTGTTCGGTCTGTCTTGGACTTCTTTCTATACTGATGCACGCCTAGATCTCTCATCCTTTTTGTTTTGTTTTTTTCTCATGTTATATGTATTCCACTTCATGGGCATAATTTTTTTGAACTTCATTCCCAGTTGCCATTTGTCTGATCAGTTGTTTATGATGGCTTATTTAGTTTGGAATATGTGCCATAGAGGACCTTTAATCTTCTGTGAATTGTCAAATATACATTATTTTTTCTTCTTTCTTTTTTTTTTAAATCACCAAATCCTAAGAAAACATTTTATTTTCAAGGCTTCTTTTTTTAAATATACATTTTCCAAGAGCTCTTTCTGTATGAATGCCACTGAAATCATGTGGCCTCTGGAGACTGATCTGCCTGGCTGTCTCTTACTCCCCAAACCTTACTTTCTCACTCACCTGGATCAGCACCTGGATCAGCCTCCTGCCTCTCAGCATAGTTGCATGGAACAGGAGAGATAATGTGAATGCTCTGAGAACGGCTGCACGCTGAAGGAATGGTTATGTAGTGTCATATTAGTGGTCGTAGTAATAATAAAAGCGAGTCCCTAAAAGCTTCCAGGTATGCTTATCAGCTAACTTTATTCTTGTAGGAAGTGCACTAATAAAAGTATTTGCCTGAAAAGAATTCAAAAACTAGATTGCCCTCTTTGCGTGATCAGTGAGGTCTTAGGATCAGTGAGCTCGGGGTGGGAGGGCTGAGCTCTGAGGTTGGAGGATCAGCTCTGCGGAGCTCTTCGTGCCTTGGCAAGTCTCTATAATGAGGAAAACTCCAAAGTGTGCTCACTTGGGATGCTGCCCAGGTTCCGTGCTGCGGAGAAAGAACAGCCTGGGTGAGTGTGGTTGGAATGGGCGAGGTGGGAGCTCGGCAACTATGGCTGGAGCGCCTTCCAGCCAGGACCCAGGATGACTCCCCCTCCTTCTTTCCTGAGGGTCCTGGCAGGGGGTGTCCCTGCAGGGGACAGCTGACTACCCTGTGTGCATGTGTGTCCTTTTCCAGGCTGCTGACTCGGGACCCCTACAAAGCCGGAAGCAAGTTGAGCCCTGCAAGGCTGCCGGTGCCATGGATTCTCAGGTCCGTCTGTGTACTTCCCCTGGAGAAATGCTTTGGGAGGGGGAGCGAGGGTAACTGGGGCCAGCTTGTTCTTCGTGGGTGTGCTGTCCGCGTGCACCCAGCTGACCCCTTCTTTGACAGCGCTGCAGAGAGGAGCCTCACATTCACAATTTGCTGGCACATAGTGAAAAAAGAAAGACCGGTCCTCCCTCCTCTTCCTTTCCCTCCACCGTGTGCCTGGTCGCGCACTGGAAGAGCAAGGTGGCTTTCTGATTCAGGACCATTTAGAAGCTCTAGAGTTCTTAGAAGCGATCCCCCTAAGGTCTTATAGGCCGTTCCCCTGGCTTTAGCAGGATGGTACCTAAACTGCCTTGTCTAAACTGCCTTGTCTGTACTTACCTTTTAATTAGCTGGAAGAGAAAATCATGGTGTATCCATCAGAAGCTCTTTATTTATCTACTTACTATAGTCTTTCTGCTTCCCTTCTTTGCCAAATTCTGTAGAGGCCCCTAGCACCAGAGGCTTTTCTGTGTCCACACTGTGTGCATCAGCCTTCTGTTCCCACCAGCTATTGTGAGAGGTAACTGCAAAAAATCTAAGGATTTGGTGGTTAGTAAATTTCGTGGCCCACAGTTTCTGAATCCCTAAGCATAGCAACATCTGACACCTGGAAGGTTATCAACATATGCTTGTTGAATATCCTAATAAAGGAAGGAAACCACATGGTTTTTCAGCTTGCTAGTTGGAGCCTGAGACATAGCTGGTTCAGCAGAGATGGTGGAAGAAACGAAGGGTGTTCTTGAGTTTCTAAGCTGTCTTGAGAGAGAGACTAAGCAAGCAGGAGAGGCGCAGAGAGAGAGGTCTCCAAGAGAGAGAATCCCAAGCAGGCTCCACACTAACATGGGGCTCGAACTCCCAAACCATGAGATCATGACCTGAGCTGAAACCAAGAGTCGGACTACTTAACCAGCTGAGCCACCCATCTTTTTCCCTTTTATAGGGATAATTCTGGAAAAGTAAGGGCCAATTAGCAATATGTTATCACCTTATTTTGTGCATTTTATTTATTTAAAACAATTTGCCCTCTAAAAACTGTCCTAAAAGTTTTCTGGTTATTTTCCTAATGAAAAATCGGACTTAGAAGACAGAAATAAATGTTACAATCACCTTCATCTTCTTCTACTGACTTTCCCTTACAAGCTAGTATGTGTGTTTTACATTTATTTGGGCAGATCTCAGTATCCCCAGCCTTCCGGATGATTCCCTCTTTCATCCTAGGTCTCTGATTGCTCTGAGTGCACCTGGGCTGCTGGGGCTGTGAGTTCTCACCTTTGTTTGCCAAGAACATTGTCCCAGATGCAGTCAGTACACTAGAAATGTCCCTGCAGGCTCCCAGAGCACGGATGCTAAGCTGAGTTCCCCTGCAAAAGTGTTGCTAGCAGATGGCAAGCCGCCAGGCAGAGACCACCAGCCCCTCACATTAGAGCAGGCGCCATCCCCCTATACGAAGCACAGCAAGCCTGCCCAAAGGCAGATGTTATCTGTGGTCACTGTTTCCCAGTAATTATGGAAAATCTGCTGGCTCCACAATACCATCTTGGCTCACAAAGAAGATTATGAAAGAGTTTCTGACTGCTGGGTGTGTAGCTGGTAAGGTGGGCTCAAGTTGGTAAGGTATGTGAGAGTTAGCTTATGCGTGTAGATGTATAAGGATGAGATCTAAGTGATGATATTTGCTGACTTACTTAAAACAGCCTTTGGACAACCCCCCTCCCTGAAAGCAAGCTCACCCCAGCTCAGTGTCTTCAGGATGTCAAGCAAACGGTAGATGAACCACGTTCTGCAGAATTGGGGCTTCCTCTGTGGCATCTACAGGCAGCATTGCTTAAGGCAGACACTGCAGATTCGGCCTCTGCCCCCTGATGCTCTTGCCCGCACGGGCTTATTCACATATCTTGGGCCAGGGAGGCTCTTTCAGGCCCAGCTGTCCTCGGGCTCCTTTTGCCAAGCTCAGCTGTAGGAAGGGCCTGTGGCCCCCCTGGATCCGCGTCCCATGGGTCTCCCTGACTTGACTCCCTTTTCATCTTAGGTCAGCAATGGTTCGAGCCTCCATGATGAGCGCATCACAAACTTGCTGCTGTTTGGCTTCCTCCAAAACTGCTCCAACTATAATTTCCACAGAGAGTTAGAGGTGTTGGGCCGTGAACTGCCTGCGCCAGCTTACCTGGAGGAGGACCACGATGATGAGCTCCAGACAGATGGCAACCGGAGCAGCCACTTCCTGGATAGCGAGGAGACAGGTGCCTGGCACAGCCTCCTCCACCCCAAATCTGGGCTTCACTCTCCCCAGTAACATTTAGGGACCTTTGGGCTCAGTGTCCACCTCTGTGGTTTCAGCCCACTGCGTGTTTGTGTCATATTGTTTGGTTTGTACCTGAGGATTCTGTAGTTTCCAATCAGCTGAAATCCAGTTTCTTTATAATGAGTATTGGAATCTGTATAGAACCTCACACTTTTATGTTCATATGTATTATGACGTGATTATATACAACATAACTATGGCATTGAAATATTCTGAACCTAATTTCCTGGTGAGAAAACTGAGGCCCAAAGAAGGGCAAATTACAAACCCCAAGTCAGGTAACTACTGGGCACCATCGGGCCAGGCCTCTTTCCTTGAGCTGGGCTCCATTGCCCTCTGCTGCTGCCTCCCAGGATATCACGCTTTCAGAACTTCTTCACATTTTCTCACTCATCCCCTGTGCTGCCCTTCCACCCTCACTTTTTATTCCTCTTTGCCGCTGGTGCACCGTCCACAGATGGAGGCCTCCTCAGCTGAAGGCTGGGGGAGTAGAGCTGGGGAGCAAGCTGAGGGTCAGCCACTCCTAGATTTGGGCCCGGAACAGTGTTTCTCAGTAGTGTGCACATTGAAATTCCATGAGGAACGTTTTCAAAATGCAGAGTCTTTGGGCCTGAGTGCAGCTGTCTGAACCAACATGTTCTAGGGTGGAAGACTGCCAGGTGTTTCTGGGGTATATGCCCTGATTACAATCACTGCCTCAAGGGACTCTGAGGACCTGGACCCAGGCCTCCCAACCTAGCAAGCGGACTGAAATCCTGCCTCCTGCCTCCCAGAAATCTCCTGACATGAGAGAATGCACTGCCCTCTGGTGGCCCTGAGGGAGACCAACAGCTGGTCCAGCTTTTGGACCTCCGGGTCTGTGTTAAATTGGGTGGATGGGGAAGTGTCAGGAGTTACCCCACTAGCCAGGGGGTGCCAGGTGCTTTAGAATCCAGCTACCATATCTTCTGGGTAGCCCTAAACTTGAATAAAGGCAACTGACCCCCTTTGGGGAAGGCTTAGGAGGGGGTGGAGGGCAGGAATGGCTTTACTTATCAGAAGCTGCGGCTAGAGTAACTATAATCAGAGGCTGTTCCCTGGGTGGTCTTTTGCTCTTCTACACCATTCCTTGCCCTTAGACTGACTGCAAAGCCTGACTTGATTCAAATGGCATTTGCAAAGGTACACAACTTCACCTCTGGTGGAAAACCAGCATGTAGATTAAGTACCTGATGAGATTGGGAAGCAAAAGGCAAACTAGACGCTTTGTATACCACAGTTTCATTAGTGAATTCATTTACTCAGCTGGACACTTACTGAATCCACTATGTCTCCTGAAGTTGCTGCAACAAAGTGGAAAAGCACAGAGAAATCAGTGAGGCAGAGACAGTATAGTAGGAGCTACCTAGAGGGTGGGTCCTTTGAGAGGGATCAGGAAAGACCTCATGGCTGTAACCGCAGTTGAGCTGGGCTGTGGAGGAAGGGGTACTTTGGCTCTTTGGTAACTGGGAAGAAGTAACGGCAACGGTGTAAGCAAACACTTGAAGATGGAAAGATTAGGGTCTTTAGAAGGCACTGTTGAGTTTGGCCAGAGTGTTTGGAGGGAATAGTGGAAGTTATGGTCCAAGGTGTTTTGAGGCTGGGTTACAGCTTGTCACTGGAACGGGTGTGAGCCCGTGAATGATTAGAGAAGTGAGGTCGTATCCATACTCTGGATCACAGTCAAGACCACGCTGAGGACACAAAATTTAAGGAGGCCCCCTCTCCAGGGTCCCACCAGGACACTTCTCAGAGCCTCTTTACCTCTTGCACCTAAGTGCCTTGCTTCCCAAAGTATATTGTGGAGAGTGGAGAAGGGCCTGGAAGGCCGTGAGAGTGGCCAAAGAGGCTGCTGTAATTATCCAGATGAGAGCTGATGGAGGACCCACGGCCAGGTGGTGGCGGTGGTGACGGTGGGACAGATGGTTGTATCTGTGCTCTGAGATAAGACGTGACGATTGCTGAGGGTGGCTGCAGGGACCAGGGAGATTGAGATTTCTGTCCTGAGTAAGTAAGAAGCCGGAGGGAAGGTGCAAACACAGAATATAAGATTTAATGAGAGAAATAGCCATGGCTGGCATTTATTGATTACTTACTAGGAGCTAGGTACACGATCCATCCATTTGCACATTCATTCATTTGAACAGTTTTCTGTTGAGCACCTACCGTGTGCCCTGCGTTATTTTCAGTGCTGTGTATTTGGCAGTAAGCAAAACAGGTTTAAAAATTGGAGCTCTTAGGAAGCTTACCTTCCGGCAAGGGACTCAGACAAAGAACATGGGCAGGTAAAATATATGGTAGTAGGGAGTGCCGAGGAGGGGAAAGGGAGGACAGCGGAGAGGGTGGAATCTCAGACAGAGTGGCGTTTGAGTAGCAAGAGAAGGAGCTGCGGTCTCTGGCGGCAGATGCGGGGCTCTAACTTGGTCTGACTGCAGAGCCCCTGCCCCCACACCTTCCTAGGCTGACACCTGTTACATGGTGGTTTATAGAACTGGCAGCTGTGAAGGTTGCCGTCAGATTCATGCCATGGCTGCTCAGAGTCACAGATGCCCTCGCATCACTGTCCTTTTCGTGGACAAATGGTAACTCTGTAGGTAGGGTGAGGCCCGCTTCTCTGGTCTTCTGCTTGCTTAGACCCTTTCCTGGCCCCAGCACACTCCAACCCTACTTCCCTGCCTGTGGGTCCCAGGTACTCCCATGGCGGCTCTAGAAGGGAGCATCTGCTCAGCAAGCCCACCATGGTGAGCTGAGAAAGCAGGAGCTGGCTTTGTTCCAGAACAGAATCCCTTTCTTTTTCCGGTATGGGGTGGTTTGGGAGGAAGGGTCAAACAGGCCATTGTCTGAATATGCTGTGTCTCTGTGTCCCTGCCTCAACATTCAGATTCTGAGAGTCAAGAGGAAATCATCCAAGATATCGCCAGGCAGCTTGCCCAAATAGGGGACAGGATGGATCACAGCATCCACCCAAGACTGGTGAATAACCTGGCAATACAGTTTATGAATGTGAACCTGTCGGAAGAAGTAAGTGAGAAAATACACCAGTGCCTTTTCTGGGTTAGTCAGGAAGTGTGAGAACTTTCTCAGTTGTCAGGTGTTTTGTTTTTAATTTTAATTCCAGTGTAGTTAACATACAGTGTTATATTAGTTTCAGTTGTACAACATAGTGATTTAACAGTTCTATGTATTACTCAGTTTTCAATATGATAAGGTGTACTCTTAAGCCTCTTCACCGATTTCCCTCATCCTCATAACCCACCTCTTCTCTGGTAACCATCAGTGTGTTCTCTATGTTAAGAGTCGGTTTTTTGATTTGTCTCTTTTTCCCCCCTCCCTTTGTTCCTTTGTTTTGTTTCTTAAATTCCATATATGAATGAAATCACATGGTGTTTGTCCTTCTCTGACTAGCTTAGGACTCTCTAGATCTAGCCATGCTGTTGTGAAGGGCAAGATTTCATTCTTTTTTACAGCTGAGTAATATTCCATTGTGTGTACACACACACACACACACACACACACACACACACACACACATCTTCTTTATCCATTCATAGATAAAGATACTCTGTGTCTATCCATGGACACTTGGGCCGCTTCCATAGTTTGGCTATTATAAATAATGCTGCAGTAAACATAGGAGTGCAAATATCCCTTCAATTAGTGTTTTGATATTTGGTTAAATACCCAGTAATGTAATTAGTGGATGGTAGGGTAGTTCTGTTTTTAACTTTTTGAGGAACTTCTTCCGTACTATTTTCCACAAGGCTACACCAGTTTGCATTCCTACCAACAGTGCAGGAAGCTTCTTTTTACTCCACATTCTCATCAACACCAGTTGTGCTTTGTGTTGATTTTAGCCATTCTCAGAGGTATGAGGTGGTATCTCATTATGGGTTTGATTTGTATTTCCCTGATGATGAGTGATGTTCAGCATCTTTTCATGTGTCTGTTGGCCACCGTGTGTCTTCTTTGGAGAAATGTCTGTTCATGTCTTCTGCCCATTTTTAATTGGATTGTTTGTTTTTTCAGGTTGTAGAAGTTCTTTATAAATGTTGGATACTACCACTATTGGATATGTTATTTGAAAACATCTTCTCCCAGTCCACAGACTGCCTTTTAGTTTCCAGTTGTTAATTAAAACACTGAGGTCTGTCCTGTGTCCCATGTCAGACAAACCAGTGTCCAGTGAGGTAACTCATTGCCTACAAAAGAATTGGAAATAGAATCATAGCATGGTTAATTGTCTTTTCAGAAGAGTTAATGTATTTGATATTTAGGAAACCTGAACCTTAAGTCAGGAGTCAAGATTTTGGGTATAAAAGCCTCCAAAAAGATTAACAAAACGTATATGACTCTTCCAGGACTAACTTACTCTTTCCTCAGTTTTAGAGAGCTGAATAAAAATGTGAGTGAGGCCATCAAGTCACTTACCACATGTGACAAGAAGAGTGACATATTATTTAGCCCACTACTTTTAACGTCCTGGTTAATATCAATATACAGACACCAGCAGAGCTTCTGCCTATCGTGAGGCACCGTAAGCTATCTAGCCTTCCTGGAGAAACTTAGTGGAAGAGAGAGATGCCCCAAGGCTGTCAAATCTGTGGTTACAGGAGTTCGGTGGAGAGAAAGGTTCCTTCCTTTTGACTGGAGTTGCAAGTATCCCTCACTGCCTCGAAATGTATGTGTCAGTCCTCCAGGGTTCAGCCTGGGCAGCCTCCTGCCTCCAGGAAGGTTTGTCTCCACTCTGGATCAGCAGCTGTCATAGCAGCGATATTGTTCTGCCTCGGGGAACAATGTTAACTTAATTTTGCGTATGAGTTGATGAGCTTGAAGGTCCTTAAGAGTCCGGTGGTGTATGGCGTGCTCCTCCCATGCAGCAAGAATGTCACATTTAGCCCCCTTCATCCCCTTCCCATAGCTCGGTCTGCACCGGTAAGATAGGTCTAAGACGTCTTGGGTATTTAACTAGTTCTTTAAGTGCCTTAGAAGCAGGGAGTGGCTGTGTTGTCTAATGTAAACACACACACACTCTGTAAAGACGTATTTGGTGATGTGTGTCCAGCTGCAGCGACTAAGCTCGGCCTACCCTTTCCATTGCCTCTCCAAATTAAATTGTCTCTCATTCTCTCCTCCAGCCTCCTCAGCTGTTTAATAAGTTCTTCCCTCGAAACGAAAGCACGCTTCTTCCTACGTAACACTGGTAGACTGTTCTTTCAGAGGGCAGAACATTAGTAAATGAGGTTCCGCGCGACCCTGTGTTTACATGCAGGACAGAAGGAAGCACCTTGCTGCTACACTGGAGCAGGTCCTGCAGACTTACCCAAAGGATATGGAGAAGGAGAAGACCATGCTCATGTTGGCCATGGTACTGGCCAAAAAGGTGGCCGACCACACACCGTCCTTGCTCCGTGATGTCTTTCGCACAACAGTGAACTTTATTAACCAGAACCTACTCACGTATGTGAGGAACTTAGTCAGAAATGTAAGAACCAGTGATGTGAGCTCCTTGGCGTTTCACTGCATCCCCTTGGTCTCTGTCTGTTCCCTCTAAGATCTGGAAATTCAGCAGAACTCTCTGCTGCAGGGTTCTTTCATCCTTTTTCCCCTGCTTCTGGTGACCAGACCACGAGAAAGGGACCTTGCTGCTCAGGTAGAAAGGCTTGGTTTTGCTTCTGTGAGAAGGTTGTGTTGTAGAAGGTGGTGATGAGCACCACCTTGAGATTCATCAACTTTATTTTTAAGATGCCCTGCTATCAGAGCGCACCACGCACTGTATTCTTGCTAGGATCCCAGTAGTACAGCGTAGGTTACAGGAGGAGCATGAGAATGTGGCCGGAGTGTCCCTACCTGAGCGTCTTCCATCTGCCCTCCTCTTCGTCTCATCACAAACATAAGTATAATTTACATTTAAAAACACATTAAGAGGATGTTGGGGAGAGAGACCAAAATGGATAGTCAAAAAGGGAGAAAAACTATTTGAAATCTTCCTCAGAAAACCTGTCCAAAAATTAAGACTAAGATATTAAAAGTCACAATTCTTCACGATGCTGTCCAAGAAGAAGGGCCAGACAGGCGTTAAAGTCTGTTGCTTCACTTTAACTGGAATTTAAGTGGCTGTATCTTACCTGTAAGTTTGAAAATACTAGTGAATGTTCAGGATTTTGTGTGTCGGAAGCATTACTCCGGCATCTGACCCCTGATGCCTTTCTCTGTCTGCCATGTTGTTCGCTTATGGCAGCATTTTAAAACCGGAGAATGAATACAAGTCTCGAATCAGGTGTTAAATGAAGCTGAATTGCTGGGAGAAGGTAAGCCTGAGAAAGTTCTGAACAGCTTTCACCAACGACAGTCTATCGGGGCTATAAGTGGGCAGGATATCAGCAGCAGTCTGTGTTAACAGCTTCCTGAAGGGCTGAAACAGAACCTTCATTCCTTGGACCAAGATGCTTCTTGGCGCCAGAAGTGATTCACTAGATGTGAATGTCCAGATCTCGGCGCCTTGAAAGCCTAGGTCTTGCACTTGCTCCCATGTAGCAAAAGGAGGATGCGGGGATCTAAGGCTGACAAGGCTCCAGAGTGTGTTTACAAACCCTGGCTTCACATCTATTGATTGTGGCACCAGAGCCCTTAAGTACTGAATCCTGGTTCGTGGATCCGATGCGCTAATTCTAGTTCCCTTTCTTGCTGCAGGAGATGGACTGAGTGCACGACTCTGCAAAAGTGCGACTGATGAAAACTTGACGTGGTGACAAGGGCACACCTGCCTCCAGTGGAAACGGAGCCAAGGCTGTGTAAGCAGCGCTCTTAGAGAAGATGGGCTCAAAATAATATGTATTTATTTCCTACTGTTTTAAAGATGTTTTAAGCAGGTGATTTGTTTAGAAATTTTAACTTGACATACTTGAATGAAAATGTCAACTTGCACAGATTTGAATGAGTTTCATACCATCTTCTAAATCCACTACACAGTGTGCCTTTATCTTATTTCACCTGTACAGGTGTTCACTTGGAAATTAAATTTAAGAACAGATTGTAAGGCAGAAGAAAAAGACAAGGTTTTTTTTTTGTTTAAGGAAAAAAAAAAACCAATGTTTTTTTGTTTTTAAAAAAACTACTGTTTATTAAAATGCAGCCTTGAGGTGTGTCTGACAGCTGGCAGTATTTGAGGAGAATGAAGTCTGGAGACTGATGTCCTTAGTCCTCACAAGTGAACAATTCCTCTCAATGCAGGGAACATCTTAATACTAAGGAAGTAACAGTCTTCCCATTTAAAAACCAAACAGTATAAGAGGTTCTGGACTAAAATTCTGTACTCAAACAATGGGAAAATCAGGCCTCAAAATGTGATTTTTTTCAACTCGATTTCCTTTTGAGTCAAGAAGGACCATAGGCAATTAAAAGGTATGGAGGTCATTTAAGGGCCCATGTCAACCACAGTTTCCAAAATCAGGTAACTAAATGTACCTTTTCTCTTTCTAAGCCAGCTTAAAAGGCTCTGATAAAAATTTTAAGCTGGTGGAGTATCAGAACTACTGCATATAGCCCATGGGGGAATGTCTGTTAATAATCTTGTATTTTCATTTTCCTCCCATAATTCCTCAGCTCACCCTTGCCCAAGAAGCTACATCTGAAGAAAACAGATTTCTAGGCATAAAAGATGAAAGACTAGTTAGACGTTTTTTTTCTTTTTTCTGAGAAAAAAAAACTAGGCACCCCTAGTTAGACTTTTAAAAATTCAACAGTTAAGGTTGGTTCCCTTTCTTAGAAACAGTCAGAATCCAAGTAATAAAAGCAAGGCATTTAGGTAGTGCCAAAGTAAACCAGGGAGACCTTACATTTAGAAACAGTGCAATATTGGTCTTGTTCCCAGTGATAAGCATTTCCGGGGATTCTGTTTAAAGGTACAGTGGTGGATGCTGGGTCCATATCACACACATTAATGTCATGCTTACCAGTAACACTTGTTACTGTGAATAGACCACTCTGGGGACTAATAGGTAATTAAGAAATACTTTCTTGTTATCAAAAAGTTTCCTGTTCCTTGAGAGTTTAATCAGAAAAGAAACATGACTGCATTGTTCAGTATTAAATACATACCACAATCTTGGTCTCAATCTGCTATCTGCAGTATGTTGCAAATACTAAAAACTGCTGCACTAAAAACTGTGCAGCACAAAAGCCAGTGTTTGGAAATAAACCCGTAATGCTGTTATGTTTTGGAGTGGATTTTTTTTTTTTTTTGAAGGATTCATATCACAGTGGAAACAAGTTGAATCACACACATACATAACATACTCATCCATACGTGTTATCAGTCAGTTCAGATTCTCACTGGCTGTGGGGGGGATACTTTCTTCCAAAAGGAACAATTTAAATACAAATAGTCAACTCTAATGGAAGAAAATAAGAGATCTAAAAATGACAGATAATCCCAGACTATCTGTTATAATACTTACAACTTTTCACAGCATCTTTACCTGCCAAGTTTTGCTTTAATTAAAACAGTAAGCCACCATTTTCATGCAGCTTATACACGTTTTAGTATAAATTTTTCAGACCAAGTTAGACTTTCTCAGCCATGAAGCAAAATTATCACCTTGTTCCCAAACCAGCATTATGAAAAGAGTTCACTGTATCAAAAACAGATGTTCACAGTCTTGAGCACATCCCAGCCACAGTGACCAAAGCATATCCTAGAAGTTGGTGGATTTTACACTTGGACCATAAACGTCATGGATATAACTGAAAGTTTTTTAATTCAGAGAATGTGTTTCATCCTGCTTTTTTTTTTTTTAATTTGAATTAAGCAATGGAAATTCCTCGGTTAAAGGTAAAAACCTTTCTGGGGCTCCTGGGTCACTTAAATGTCCAACTCTTGATCTCTGCTGAGGTCATGATCTGAGTTTTCTGAGTTTAAGCCCCACATTGGGCTCTGTGCTAACTGCCCAAAGCCTGCTTGGGATTCTCCCCCTCTCTAGTGTACTCCCTCTTCCCCACTCACACACTCTTTCAAAAAGTTGCCTCACCTCTAGCAGCTTAACAAGGCTGGATTCTAAATCAATCAATCAAACGCTCTCTTCTTCAGAAGCTGTTTGGCATATCTGAAAGTCAGGTGGACTATCTGGTGTAGTCAGAAGGTCAAATCATTCCTGATCTCACCACTTAGGATCTAGCACTAACTGCAGAGATGCTCAGGGCTACCTTAAAGGGTCACAGCACCAGAACCTGCTTTTATGTTCCAACAATATCACTGCTGACTGGGAACCTGAATATTGAGTGCCCTTTGAATATTATGATCCTGTTTTCAGAACCTGAAGGCAAAGCACGTAAGTGTGTACCTATTAAGACCATAAGATTATCTGAAATGATCCCTCTGAAGTCAAGGACATAAGGTTACCATATGAATACAAAGAGGAGTCCATCAATTATCTTCAGATCTCATTTTATTTCAACCTCCAGTGTATTCTCCCCAACACACTGCTTCTAACAGCACAGTTCATAGATTTGGATTTTGTTCCTTTCCCCTGATGAAGAGTAGATTGGCCAAAGGGCAGATTAACAGGAGGGAAAAGGAGGAGCCAGAATAACCCACAAATAAGGTGAGCAAATCAGAGTTGTTAGGAGAGCTAATGGAAATTCATACAAAGTAAATACATGCACTCAAGTGAAATGCTTATGTTAATTACCAAAATTACCATTTAATTCCAGTAATTTTGAGGAGATGAGAGCATTAGAACCAATAATAAATTGAACTCAGTCAAGGGATGAGGTAGAAAGAGGCACTTTTAATGTGAAGGAAAAGAGAAATGAAAGCTAAGATAGCAGGAAAAATAAACGAATTCTATCTTTTCCTTTGGTGCTGGCCAAGGACCAATCTATGTAATACAATTGTCTTGCTAAAAATGAGGAACCAAGTTATTCCAGACTCTGTAACAGGGAAGATTGTATTTCAGCTTCCTTTTATTCCTGGAACAAACAGTAATAAAATGTCAAAACTTTTGTTCATAATAATACACTGATTAACCAATTTCCTCTGGTGGGTGCAAAAAACACTCACTGAGCAACATCACTATAAAACTTCCCCTTAGAAGGTTGAGAAGGGAGCAAGGTACACCCTAGGCCAGCTGCTACTTTTTAACTTATTACAAGGCCTTGCAAATATCCCTGAGAACATCTCCAACCTGAGCTTACGATGAAGCAGCTGCCTGGCTAGAGCTATTGCAGTGTAAACATAAACATCGGGAGGGCCCTGATGGTCTAAATTCACAGGAACATGGTAAGCCAGGTACAGGCTAAATAGTCTTACATAAAGGGAAGACCAGGATGTTTTAATATTTTAGTTTCATGACCGTTTCCACTCTCTATGGAGTTCTATACATGAGGTAACTAAGGAATAGTGACTAAATTCTTAAGAACTGGTATTCTATAGCCAAGGCCCCAGTGTAGTGTGGAATAGAGCAGATGTTTCACTGGAAAGTCACCTAGGGTCAGCTCTGGGCGAGATGTGTCTGTGGCTGTGCCTTGCCAGCTCTCGAGTTGGTGACCTCTCTAATGTTGAGAGGCCAAGCAGTGACTCTCAAGTGGGGAGGTCTCCCCCACTTGATTTCATCTCACTTCACAATCCATGGCATAGGCAGGGGGAAAGGAAAATAGGGAAAAGGGAAGAGAAAGTGTCAAGATGCTGTCTTCAAGTCATTTGGTGATGATTCCTGTAAGACTGCCTTACTCTTGTTTACAGGCAGAAGTACTTCTCTGACACACTAACTAAAACTAATGAAAGACCTATACCAGCAATAACTGTTCATTCTTTAGCCACAAGGCACCGCATTCGCTATTTAAGGGAAAATCATCTGTTACAAATTGGGAATAACCCTGGACATAACCTTCACTCCTGTTTCTGTAGAACATGCTCAATATTTAGATTAGGCCAGATGGAACCATTGTACAAATCAAGAAAAAACTCCCTTTCTTCCAGGGCACAGTCTGGTGCGCCTGGCTGCCCTTGTGCGGTCTGTGATTGGCACAACCATTTGTAGAGAACCTACTGATCCTGCTTGGCAGGGTCATAAATGTGAAAACTGAAAAAAAGCACTAGACTTGGAGTCAGAAAAATTCACAGTGTCACCTTTGCCTCTCCCATGCTAGAAGACTTGAAAAGTCATTAAACCCCGATTAGATCTCCTCACGGTGTAAGCTGGGGGTGAGGGCTATGAATATCCACTGCAACCGTGAAGGTGGAATAAGGTATGTGAGGGCACACAATTCCCGGCAAACTAAATGTTCAACTATTTGTTAAAATTCTAATGACCCACACTTTTTAAGGAAAAGGATACTCTAATACAGGAAAAATATGCACCCTCAACTGGAACCCATCTCACAGCTGAACCTCCTCAGTGGTGAATGCTGTAATGGGAAGTTGTCACTCATGGCAGATTTCATTCCTCCAGAGAAGCCACATTTTTCTGGCACAGTGTTGCTGAGATACAGTAGCGCCCTCTCATCTTCCCTGGTGGATGCCTGAAACCGTGGAGAATACTGAGCCCTATGTATGTTTTCCCCCCAACATACATATCTATGGTAAGTTTAGCTTATAAACTAGGCATAGGAGACATTAACAAGAAAATAGAATTATGGTATTATACCATAATGAGTTCTGTGAATGTGATCTTCCTCTTGTAATAATCTTATTGTACTAAGACACTTGTGATGACATGAGATGACAAAATGCCTACGCAATGAGATGGAGTGAGGTGAGCGATGCAGGCACTGTGATGAAACGTTAGGCTACTACTGACCTGAGGATACATGAGAAAGGATCATCTACTTCTGGGCCATGGCTGACTGCAGGTAACTGAACCGCAGAAAACGAAACTGCAGACAAAGGGATTTGTGAGGAAATCGGTTCAGAGGCCAGAAACTGTTCTATAAAGTAATCAAATAGTCTACAGGCCTTCTATGAAATATGATCACCACCTCAAATTCTTACCTATAATACCTTTTATTTCTATTAAGACATCTCTTAAAATAATTTTAAAATTCTGCAGGTATGACATTTGTCCACGTCATGCCTTTTAGAGAAAAAGGCAAAGAGCGGGCATTACTTTTGTATTATTAGAGGGAATTAGCATGAAGGCTGGGGAAATTAATTTCCACAAGACATTAATGGTTGTGTACTTCAAAAAACCACATTCCTGGGCTCATTGTTTATTCCCCCAGGACAGACCCATTTAAGTAGCTGCATTTTGATATGAGATGGTACAGAAACCCAGGCGAGAGGGCGTATCAAGGATGCCTTTGTGTGGTGAATGTGTGAACCAAATGGTCAACAGTTGCTTTTCATTTTCTAGAAAGCTTTCTAGAGGGCAATGATACAGGAGTCCCTGTAAGGCACACTATAGATACTGATTTCTATGGGCTCAGAATTATTATTTTAATACAAAGAGGATAAAGTGGCATTCTTTAATTCTGGTATTTTTTTCAAGAAACCTTCGGTGTTTTTTTTGCCAAGTTTTCAGAAATCATTATATTCAATAAAGCAATTAAGAAGAATTCTAGAGGACTTACTAATACAAACTCTTCCTCAATAGTTTAAAGAATGAGGAATGATAAATGGTGATCTTCTTAATTCCACATTTGAGTTCCATAAGCAGGTGGCATTTATCCTCAATCTTCCTTTTACCTTAGATTTAGATGTAATGTAAGTTG